AGAGAGAGAGAGAGAGAGAGAGAGAGAGAGAGAGAGAGAGAGAGAGAGAGAGAGAGAAGAAAAAAGGAAAAAAAAAAGAAGTTCGTAAGAGTATGCGCAGATGTGCTGTTCTTTCCATGGTGTGTTTTTGGGTCACTTGGCATCTCATTTACTGTGGTACTCACATCTACCTTTTCTGTTGAGCTCTGCTGTCTCTTCTGTGGCCCCTTGTGAGGCTAAAATGTGTCTTTTCTTTCGGTTGTCCTGTGCCTGTATCTTGCTGCCTTCTTGACAGGTTGAGGAAGAAGTTGCGAACCGCAAACTTCCAAGCCAAAGCCAATACAGAGAAAGCACTGCTAAAGGAGGTGAGCTCAACTGCATCCTATTCCCAATATAGTAAATCTATTCCCGTCACTCAAGAAGTCCGTCATAACTTACCCAGTCCATGCAGCTGAATGGTATAAAGTACTATGCACACAGAACCGTTCATAATCAGACCATGAGTTCGAATCCTGATTATATTATATGGATACAGTAAGGTCAGGGATCTATCTCTTTAAAAAAAAAAAAAAAAAAAAGACGTTCATCGTAAACCTCCCAGTCCTTCTCCTTTATCCCGAACTCCATCTGAAGCTTGCCAACGTGGTCAGCTCACGTCATGCAAGGATTGAGGATCTTCCTTCGATCACACATCTGCATCATCTCTTTCCTGTTTATTTAAAAGGGCAACAGCGTTGAGATATTATGATTGCACTGACTGTTCCCAAATTATTCAGACTTATCTTATTCTTTTCATAATCATATGGTTGCATCTGGCTTCGATCTCAGGTCTGTATTTCAGCAGTTCAGGGATGTACCAACTGAGCTTGTCTGGATTCTGGTTTCGCTGTCTTCAACAGGGAGGAATCTTCTCTGAGCTCAGTTGCCTGGTATTGTGCAGCGAGCTTCACTCCAACGTTCTTACCTTCCTTGCCGCAGAAGAAGATGCATGAGTATTTTATCAAAATAACTGCAAAATCCGTGTTGCACAGCCGACAGTCGGCGCTCCCCAACTGGTCGGGGGCCGACCAGCCGACTAATCGGCCGGTCGGCACCTGCCAGTTGGCAGGTGGTCGGAAGCCTGCAGTAAGAAAAGGAATAAAAATAAAGAAAACAAAACAGAACCACCATAACCCCCAAATATTTCCCCTCCCAACCCCCCATATCCCCCCCATAACCCTCCTAACACCCCCATAACCCCCGGCCCAAACACCCGCATAACCCCCCTAACACTCCTATACCCCCCCCAACCCCCCACCTCGCAAGAAATTTCTCAGCTGATTTGGGCTGTACTCACTCAGCAAGTTGCAGTACAGCCCTGAACTCAGATTGGAAAAAAAACAGTGGATGGCTCTCTGTTGACTGGTCGGCAGACCGCCGACCGGTCGGCGCTGGGCCAACCGGTTGCCGACCGGTGGGCCTTGCCGGTACGCTGCAAAACGGTCAGCGGTCGGGGTCTGCGGTCGGCTGGGATGCAACCCTGGACAAAATGCCATTCCCAGGCACATTGTGAGATGGCAATGAGCCTTTTATCGGCTTTATCGCTAGTCCTTTGACCCCTTATCTTCACCATGTTTTGCTATGAATTTGGGGAAGTTGCAATTTTCTGTCTTCTAAGTCTTATCTAACTTCTCCTCGCCTGCCTTGGAATTCGCTGTTTTGTTTTCCGTGACGGTTCATCACATTCTGATTGTTTTGTGAGTGCTGCTGACTTGTGCTGACTGCTATTTGGAGTGCGTCGCTGTTCTCTTGTCTGCATCACGCCCCTAAACCATGTTATAACGTTTGTATATATATTTGCATTTCACAGATTCCGATTGACCTATTCAAAAGCTAAGTTTTTGTGCATGTTTTGTGCTCATGCATGTCTGTGAGTGTGTCAGAGAGAGAGTGAGAGAGTGTGTGTGTGTGTGTGTGTGTGTGTGTGTGTGTGTGTGTGTGTGTGTGTGTGAGAGAGAGAGAGAGAGAGAGAGAGAGAGAGAGAGAGNGAGAGAGAGAGAGAGAGAGAGAGAGAGAGAGAGAGAGAGAGAGAGAGAGAGAGAGAGAGAGAGAGCAAAGGGATTAGATGCAGACACTTAGGAAGTTAATTCATGGGGGTTAGTAGAGAGTTCAATCTCCTAAGTTTCTGAGGTAATCAAGTACATCTGTAACATTGCAAACCTTGTGTGGTTCTGACTGTTCATCCGGGTTGGCAGAGAGAGGCACTTTTGGGAGGACAGGAGGATGTCACCCTGAGAAGAAGAAAGTTACAGTTAAGTATCTGTTGCTGTCTTGACTGCCGTCCATTTGCTGCTACTGTCTGCCCCTGAACGCAATGCACCCTCATCATGAATGTCCCTACACTTAAAGAAATCGCTAATTGGGCAATCCGGGCCGCCCGCGGTCCTACCAGCCCGACGGTCCAGATTTTCGCGCGATCTTAAGACTTAAGATCGCATGATGATCTGAGCCGTCGAGCCGGTCAACAGTCCGGATCAACGCGCCCGTTGGAAAGAGGACCTGTACGGGCAGGTAGGTAGTCGAAAAAACTGCCGGGCCTAATGCCCAGTGCCTGTTGGGGATTGGCCCACGGATGGCTCGTTGAGTTCAGGGCCTGGCCATATTCTATACACAACCCGCCGACAAACTTCATTGGATGCGCTGCATCGTAATGAAGCCGACAAACGCCTTACACGAACAGACTCCTCTATGCGCTGAATCGTATGGCCCTATAGTGCGGCTGATGGTCCTTGCTCACGGTCGAAGGCGCCCTCTCTCTCACGTGCTCGAAAGCAAGCACACACACGGACACAAACATACCCACGCATGTACGCACGTGCATTCTGGACACACACATGCCCACGAATGTGCGCACTTGCATCCTGGACACACACACGCCCACGCATGTATGCACTTGCATCCTGGGCAGACTGTCGAGGTTCAACCTCCTGATGAGTTGGTGCAAGTCTGGCGAAACAGTCTGTCATGCTTTTGGGGAGTTATGTATGGCAATGTGACAACACTCATGCACACGCACACACACACACACACACATCAGCACACACACACACACACACAGACACACACATCAGCACACACACACACACACACACACACACACACACACACATCCGTGGAGACACATCAGCACACACGCACACAGGCATCCGCGTGGACACACATACACACATACACACACGCACACACACACCACATAATAGCAAACATGGCAAATACACTGAGCGAGCGAGCGAGCGAGCGAGCGAGCAAGAGAGAGAGAGAGAGAGAGAGAGAGAGAGAGAGAGAGAGAGAGAGAGAGAGAGAGAGAGAGAGAGAGAGAGGACCTAGAATGGTTTATACTATGTTATCATGCGAGGTGTCAGCGTTGATCAGCTTTTCGTGTACAAAGCGCCTTCGTTTTTTTTTATTTTTAACCAAAAATAATGTTTTCGTTGCTTAATTGAAGGAGAGGGGGCGGCCACCCCACATAAAGGCCGCCTTCGTAATTTGAGAATTCGACTTATTTTCGGGAAGCTGTTCTTCTTCCACTTGTCAAGGATGACAATTACTCTTCCGATCTTTGTGGTTGTTTTGGGGTGGCTGGGAGTTGCTTGGGTGCTGGGATTAGTGGGGGAGGAGGTGGTTTTAATTTGCCGACTCTGTTGCGCATTTGGGTTTTACAAATGGAATGGTAATGCGCAGGAGCCAAGCAGAGATGGCGGCGGAAGCTGAAAATATAACAGAGAGCTTAAGGCGGACCCGGCAGACAATGATGCATGTAAGTTCCTGACGGGATTGGAACCCGTGTCTTTGCAACGAAACTGTCTGGTTCACCTGTATGGGTATAGTACTGCATGGACGGAAGCAGAAGGAAAAGTGATCAATGGAAGCAAGGGAAGTCCTAGAGCCTGCGGCATTGATTGTTCTTTCATTCTTTTTTTCTTAAAAAAAAAGACAAAAGAAACCAGAGCCTTATTGCTCTGGCTCCTTATCATTCTGGGCATTGATTGTTCTCTTGGAACCTTTCCGTTTTCACTTGCTAGGCGTTTTGCGTTGTGTGTGTATTTGTAATTTTGTACGTCTCTTCTTTTCCTAAATCTTTCTGCTAATGAGGTCTCCGCAAGTACAGCTCGAATCTTCTGTTCTCGTCTGAGGCCGCCGTGCTCCGATTGGCCCTTGGTTGATCATGAAGGCAGCCTGCAATCCCGATCTAACACCCCGTGTTCCATTTTGACTGCTCCATTTTAATTTTTAACTGTTCCATTTTGAGTCTTTGACTGTTGACTGTTCCATTTTAACTGTTCCATTTTGACTGTTCCATTTTTGTAACTGTTCCATTTTTAAAACTGTTCCATTTTTTTAACTGTTCCGTTTTGAACTTTTGACTGTTCCATTTTTTTTAACTGTTCCATTTTTAGTGTACTGGCTGCTGTGTTTCAGCAGGCCGATGACACTAACTGGGGGATATGTGCTGTTGGTGTGTATACAGGAAATCGAGCATGGGAAAAAGACTCTCTCAGTTTTGGGTGAGTTCTCTTTACTTCTGTTATGTGAATGTCGGTATGTGGACCAGAGAATTGCTGATGCTTGTTTTCTGGGAGGCCAGGGACTTGGGAGCTGTCAAGGTAGTTGTGTTGAGGTCTGAGTGCCAGACAGTGTGCATGCCATTTAGGGTTTCTCGAGTTCGACGAGTTGCATGCTTACTAGAAGTGGTGACTACCGTGCTCCCCCGAATAGAACGCCCGTCGCACAGCCATTATTATGGCAATTTATTGCTGTATCTGGGCTGAAACTTCCCCCAATACAAATATAATGACCCTGCGTTATACTCGGGGGAAGATGTTCGTAGAGGAAGCTGCCACCATTGGGAAACAAAAAACTGTGAACGAGGAAACTTTGCAAAATAATGGACTATGTGCTGGCCAGTAGACATCAGCTGCAGGTTTTTTTTTTTTTTTTTTTTTTTTTTTGTTGGAGAAGAAGCTGTCTGCGCCTCATATGGGGGACAACTTTT